AGGTTTTGGAATAAATTAGGGCACAGGTAACGATTAGGGTTTTATTAAGCTTTAGGTTTTGACTGTTTTCTATCATATTCAGCTCCACGAGGCTTATCTCTCATAAATGTCGCAAAATTTTAGAATCGAGAACCTTTTGGAATGGTAACTATGATTCAGTATAGTACAATTGTTCATTTTTCATAACATTTTGAATTTTTATTATTGGCAATAACTATATTAATTCGGTCATCAACCGTGTTCATAAAATGTTTGGGAAAAATAAATGCTAATTATATGAAAGATGAAATTTGTTAAATTAACTTATTGAAATAATTTTAATTATAAATAAAATTAAAAGAATCTATTTAATGAAAGTTATTTTTTTTATAAAAATTAACTTTTAAAAAATAATTCAGATAGTTTTATTTTCTATAACAATTTATTCATTATTTCGTAATTTTGAAATAAAATTTTATTAACATACTAAAATAATATTTATGCACTGTAACAATTTATTTATTATTTTATATTTGTTTAAAAAAATAATTAATTAATTAATTTTTTTTCACTATAGCCTTGTTATAGTTGTTACACTTACATTGTTTTTGGCTAGCATGAGCACAGGTATCAAAATGGGTAGAACTCAATAAATTAACTCCAATAATCTATCCAAATAGGTTTGATTAAACCCTAAACTCAATAAGTTAAATGGTGAGTTGGGTTTGGTTGACTTGTTGTGTTATCTCTTTTTTTTTTGTTGGTGATATTTATTTTATTTGTGATTTATTTACTTAATTAGATTTATTTGTAATTTTATTATATACTTATTTTATTGTTAGTTATTAAATTATTTTGTGACTATATTGTAAAGTTATTTTAATGTTATTAATAGATTTATTTTATTGTTGATTATTAAGTTTGTGCTTCACTTGAATCATTTAATTCATTATTAATGTTACAACATTTTTAATTATATTTGGTCATAAAATTTAAAGAAAATTTAGGAAAAATTAAATAAAAATAATTTATAATTTTTTTAACAATTCAATTCTCAACCTACCACAAATAGAGTTAAGTTAATTTTTAACTCGATGAAATACAAATTTAATTCAACCCATTTTTTAGTAACACAAAAGTGGATGAATTAAGTTTGATCGACTTATTTAACAATTTTAGTCGTCAATCTCATGATATGTTAGTTTCATAGTAACTGCCTCTAATTTCATTCCAAAACAAGTTAAGTGTTAATATTTTTTTTTGGTAACAAAATTTGAATTTTCTTTTTTTATAAAAAGTTTAAATTAAAATAAGGCATGATTACATGTAAGAGTCAATTACTAATTTCTTTGAGAACTCTCAATATGGTTATATATTGTGTATTACATCCTCAACACAAGTTCACATTAAAAGTAAAATACAAATAAAACTAGATCTTGATCTCAAATTATAAATAGTAAAAATGAAGAGGCTTAACTGATTACCTTTGTCACATTATTGAAAATTGAATCTAAGTTGAAGTTTGAAAATAGTTGAAAAATATTTCAAAAAAATTGCTATATAAATTTAAGATGATCGAGTCCATGCATTCTCCACTATAAAGTATACATGTAAAGGAAAATTGAAGCGTTTTTTTTTTTTTTTTTTTTGCATTTGTTAAGGTTAAAGTATATCATTGACTCAATGGTCTATGGATTGGTCTAAGCTAGCTAGCAAAATGGTACAGTTATTTGTGAAAACTGTTCTGATAATGTGCATGTCCCTCCTATAACGTATAGTGTAAAGCAAGATCTTCACATTTTACGTGTATCATAATTACATCTTACATATAATCAAACTAAAGAACACACATTTCGCCTTCTTTTCCCCTTTTTGGGGTTACGCCAAATTAAATAACGATGATCAAAGACAATAAATAATTTAGGGGGGAAAAATAATGTGACCCTGCAACTAGGCAGTTCGAGTAGCAAAGAATCACGTAAAAAAAAAGATTCCAAGTTTACTTTAATTCACCGTTACATGTACAACATTTAGTATTGTTTAACAATTGTGAATACAAAAAGTAGTTCCCATTTTCCAAAATAATTTTTTTATTTGAATTGCATTATGATTAATTATGGTGTAGCATAAGCATGACAATCTAACCCGCCCCGTGGGTACTTGCCTGAACCTGGCCGATTTGGATGGGGAAAATTCGTGTTTATCGGGTTCGAGTTTGGGTTAGGGTTTTTCCTGATTGATAAAATCGGGTGCGGGGACGGGGATGTTAATATCCACCCCGCCACCATACCCGCCCCCTCCCC